AAAAAAAAAATAAAAAAAAAAATAAATTGTAAGCTGTTTAAGGGAAAGGTCAGCATCTTCTAACCAGTAAATCTAGAAAAGTGCTGTACATGAGAGATAACAGAAATTAATGTGGGTGATTATCTTGGTAAATAGAATTTATCATTTCCAGTGTTCCAGATTCTAACCAACTTCCCTTTCTTGGGGGGTTTGGGGGTGTATAGCACAAAGTGTCACAGAGTCCACAAAAACAGCAACCCCCCTTGGATGATGAGGTAAGTCTATATAATCACCTTTTCTTTGGAATTTTTTATGATTGCAATGGAAATGAAATGTTTTGTATGTGATGTGTTTGTATGTGTTTTCAGTGATCAAAATACTGCCATTTTCCTTTTCCCCTACTCATTTGGGAGAAGATGACACGGGCCAGGGAGTTTATCCAAGTCTATAGATCAGGGTTTTTTTGACCTATACTAATGCGTCTGGAGATTATTTATTCCCTTCCTGTATCCCCACCAGAAGTATCATCTCCCTCATCCATTTCAAAGCAGAGTGTGTAGTGAGAGGGAGTCTTGAGAGCTGTATGTGACAGGGGTAAAGGATATTGGTACTGAACTAAAAGATGCTACATATATTTCAGCTCCAGGGCTCACTTCCTGAGTGTGTATGTTATTAATTATATGGCATACACAGTAGTTTTATAATATGAAGTAGTACATTTTAATCACGAGTAAACATGTAAAATTAATTGCTAAACTTTTTAAAATGCACCTGTTTTGATCTGTTAAAATGAAACTTACTAAATATTTTTATTGTAGTTGGCTTTTTTATTAAAAGCCATTTTTCTTTATCTTTGCCTTATCATTTTTTCAATTTATGATCACTGCTTCCTTAAAAAATGCATAAAGGCATTGTTTCATGTGAATTTTGAATCTGCTTTCTGTAAAGTAAACTACTTGAAAACCGAATACGGGGCTTTACACGCATCAAGTTTCAGCACAGAGATTTTAAAGCACAGGTGTTACTGGAATGGTAGAATGCATTGTTTGAAATGTTTTAAATTATCCATTATAAAGGTTTTTTTCTTTATCTCAGTGGACATATAATCAGTACTTCTGGTTTATCTCAGAACTTACGCACTGGTATAATACCTGAAAGAGTAATTCAGCTTTTTCAGTTGTCTTTTCTTCACAAGGTAATAATAAAGGTACAAACCTTTCACAGACAAAGTTAATACCATCTTTTTTTACCCCCAGATTTCCTTCATAGTGGTCATTCTGGAGGAAATTCATTATTTAAAAATTTAAACTTCTCAGGAAAATAAGGTGTACAGTTTTTAAGTTTCCAGTTGTACTCTTGTTTTTTCTGAGAAAGGTAATGAAGAGATGCATAGACTAGAACTCATGACCCTTGGTTTATTTTTAATTTGTCACTGACTCATTAAATGACCACAAATTCTTTGTTACCGCTACATCTGTATTTCAGCTTTCTCTTCTGTGAATAGAGAATAATCCCTGTTTCCTCCTTGCTTTAGTCAGTTTTTAAGCAATAAGATCATATTTGAAATTGTTTAAGCTCTTTAGAAGAAAATCATGACTCCGAATCAGTTAGCTATTACAATACATGAATTCAAGATGATTGTGAATGTGATCCCGTATGTTAGCATCTTCAGTATGTCTTCATATATATCTCTTTGCTTGTGTATTTGTGAAATATGTCATGTGTGTGCATAGTTTGTTTTTGACATTGCTCCATTTCTCTCCACCTCTCCAGTGTCCCTTCCCATCCAGAAGGTCTCAGCACACTGATGATAGTGCCTTGTTAGTGGTAAGAGCCTTGCACGAAATGGAGTTATATATTGCTGTCTAGGTATTGGAGAACAGTTACTATACTTCTCATTCAGAAGGTATCTAAATATCATAAAACATGATGAGCATCATTACTAAACGCTTTACAAATAGCTAGAATGGCTTCCTATATTATTGTTCATGATTTACCCAGTGTTCCAGCAGTCTGCCACTATGATTCAAATACCTTTGTTAGTGTTTCCAAAATAAAACGTTCACATTGTGATCCATATTGGCTTTGTATGTGGGTTAGGAGGAGGGGGCATAATTTGTTTTTTAAATGTCATTTCTAATTCCAGGTGCATTTACTTTATTAATCATTAATTTGGCTGGTGAATCACCTGTGTATTCAATGAATTTTCTTACTCCATGACTAATTATACAACTGTATATTTGCCATCCTATTTTATTATCTGTTTTAAGCTACTGAAAATCCCAAACTTTTAAAAAATACTTAACATCTCAAGATTATCCTTCCATGTCCCTTTTTTTAAACTCTGGGAAACATTAACTTGGAATGTTACCTACTGATCATTTTTAACACTGGTTTACTTTTAGTGCCTTTCATCAGCTGAGAATGAGTATACATGACAATCTTAGTAAGTTTTGTCAGCCTTGCAAGAGAATTCTGACATTTACAAAATTGCTTTTGCCATCATGTTTTATGATATTTTTTACAGTATGTTGAAAACGAGCCATTCAAAAGTCCAGTGTGTGTAGCAATTGCTGTCTTCCGTGCCGGTACCTGCTGCCATTGTGCACTCTGCTGCACGGACTGCAGACTCGGTGTGCGCATCTTCTCGCATAGACTTCCGTTGTCCACGCTTCTGTGTGTTCTGCAGTGATCACTTCCGTTGAGATGGATAAAGCACGTTTTAATTGGGCAGTCTTATGGATAAATAAAACCACCACCCTCTGGGGGCTTAGTGGACATTAATTGGCATGAGAAGTGAATAACTTAAATTAATGCAGAAAAATACTGAGAGACACTACTGGAATTATCTCAGTTACTCCTCACAGCAATCTTAACAGTCAAGGTTAAACCTATCACCCTTTTACCAACGGTTACTGAGGCACAGAATGTTTTGTCCAGAATGCGATTTGTCCAAGGTCACATAGCATAAGTAAGTGCAAGATTGGGTTCAAATCTAGATCTTGCTGACTTGAGAACCTGCATTAAACACCATATTGCCTCTCATGCTGTAATTGAAAACAACTTTTGAGACTGAGATTTAATAACACATATAGGAGTGATAGGAGTCAGAGTGCCCACACTTCTTTGTCGAGGAAAAAGTGGAATTTGGAAAAACAGAATTCCCTCATTGTGAAATTTGAAATGGCTTTTAGCCATTTTCAAAACACATGCACTTGTATTTTTCTCATCAGTATTCATGTTTGACCTAAATGAGATGGCCTTGAAAAGCAAGGACCACATCTCACATATTTTTGTATGTCAAATAACGTCCAACACTGTACAAAAAAGAGTATTTTAAAGCATACCTCTGATTTTCTCAAGACTACTCTTTGATGGCTTCATATGATAGAATAAAGTCCTAACTTTTTTTTTTTTTTTTTAGAGAGGGAGTGGGGGAGGGACAGAGGGTGAGCGAGAGAGAGAATCTTAAGCTGACTCCACTAGCACGGAGACCAACGTGGGCCTCGATGCAGGGCTCGATCTCGTGACCCTGAGATCATGACATGAGTCGGACACTTAACCGACTGAGCCACCCAGGCGCCCCAAGTCCTAACTTCTTAACATGGCCTAAAAGCTCCTGCTTGTAGCCAGTTTCTACCTCACAACCTTTTGCAGATGCGGTTTCCCTCAGCATGGACTGCATCTCCCTCCCTGCATATACCCCTTGGTTAATTCCTTCTCGTCTATCAGGTGTCAGCTTAAATGTCACACCTTTAAAATGGCTTTTCTGCAACCCACAACCCTCAAATCAAATTTGTCTCCACTGTCATTTTTCTCGTCCTAGTACTTTTAGGTGGGCGTTTATTGTTTTATACCTCTTCCCTACTAGACTACAGGCTGTAAGCTTCCTGGGCACAGGGATATTCTCTGTTGCAGTTACCTATGTATACTCAGTCCCTATCATTGTCCCTGGGATATATTAAGTGCTCAATAAATATTTCCTGAATGAACACATAAATGCTATGTATGTAATAATCGCTCATTAAATTGTTTCATGATGAAAAGGTCTGATGTTATAGCAAGGCATAAATGTTGGATTTGATTTAAAGACCTTAAAGTATAGGATTTGAAATAACTATTAGTGGTGCTTAATATCCGTGACATAAACATTCTCTTAGGGCTGCCCTTCAGGCGTCTGCTGCTTTCATCTATATCCCACTGCATCTGTGTATCATCTCAGAATCTAGAGACGGTCAAGACTCATTTCACTTCCTCTTCCCTCCACTCCTTTTGTCCTCCTTTGACAATGTAGTGGCTTTTAGCCTTTTCATGTTTGGGACTTACAGTAATTCCAGTACATTTGGTTATAAAGAGGCCCAGGAAAACTGAAGAGGTGAAGCATGCACGGTGTATAACTGTTTTCACAGTCCTGTTCTTTGGTATATTTCCTTCATTTTTTTTCTGCTTTAAGATAGATTAGGTTGCAGTGTTACTTTTTTTTTTTATTGCCAACCACCCACAAAAGAAACATTGCTATCTATCAACTGTCTTATAAAAATAACTATCTATTTTATAGATCATCTACACACCTTTTTCTAAACACCCACATGTGTTTAAGTTGATTTATTCCATGATTCACATATTTGTGATCCTAGTTTACACTTTTCAAAGCTATTTAACTTATAAAGGCTTTAATATATTTAAGCCTTTGGCATACGTCTTATCCAATGCCCTTTGTAAAAGTCCTGTCTTCTTTGATTTCTACTCTTTACCAAATTAAAAAACTGTCACGTTCTGCACAGTTTTATCTGTAATCAAAATTCTGTACAGTAGATTCTAATAACATTGTCTCTAGTTATACCTCTAATTTACCTAATAGATACAGCTAATATTTCTAGTTGTGTGTAGGTTGGTGAAAAGATCAAGGATTCAAAGAAAAGGAAAATTCCACTCACCCTCTTACAGGTCATTTGGACACAGAGGCAGAAATAAAATTCATCCTTAAGTTGTGACGCAGAATCCTCCTATCCTCTTTTCTCACATCAGAGCTATTACACTGACTATATATATATATTCATATATATATGTATATATGTGTGTGTGTATATATATATGTGTACATATATATGTATAATGCCAAGGCAATATATATATATATGTATATCGAATTTGGATTAACATTGAAGAAGCACTGTTCTTACTCATGCCAGTTCTGCTCATTTGACATGAGCTCCTCGACTGTGTTTCTTTCCTCATCATAGGCAGAGCACAGGACTTACTAGTTTCGTTTCTAAGGAGATTATGCTCAAAAATTTTGATGTTCTCAGTTTTAGTTCTGCATAAGATCCTTTTAATAAATCATGCCTGCTTTTTTTTTTTTGGTTGTCACATGATCATTTATGAAAATATTTTCCTTTGTAGTTCTTAACTAGCTGGGCATTTCGCTACACCACTGTTGATGTCATTTATGATGTCATGAGGGCACCTGCGGCGATCAACATTGCAGTCCAGAGACTGGGCAGTCCCCAGGATCTCGTTAGTGGTTCCAGAGAGTTCTGTAGCTAAAAATCGGTGCCACGTCGGTCAGGCCATATTGACAATCTCATCAAAAGTGATACCCACTCTGCTTTATATTGTTCTGCTTATTTCTTTCTATTGATTCCTTGAGGGCTTTAATAATCAGGGCAGAGGCAAAAGGTACCACTTCCATCCGAGCCCGTCTGTCCTGAACGGTTGGTTGGTCAGTTGGGCTATAATCCTCAGACCTTTCCAATCACTGGTTGCCTTGGCATTGTCATCACCAAACTTTGTTGGAGACAGACCCAGAGGGCTACCCTTGGGGGCCGGGGCAGACGGGGCACTGACTTCCCCACCTGTATACCTCAGGTATACAACTTTGATGTCCTTGGGGTCGAGCTTAGGCGGCATGGTGGAGGCAGCTGGTGTTGGATGAACCCAGATTCAAGATGACTGAAAAGAGTTGCACCTTGGCCTCCTGCGAGCCGACAGCCAAAAGCCCTTTCATTTCTTGATTAATGTGGTATGAGGTATTGAAATAGTTTAAATTATACAAGTGGGAAAACTGTTTTAGAAGTTATGAGTTTTTTCCCCCCAAGTATTCTTTCTGCCCTATCAGTATCTTAGTAAACCATTTGAAAGTTTGTCCATGACCTTTCCTTTTCTAATTTCATTGACCAGATCTGCCCTGCCTGCCTGACATTTTGCTAATATAAATGGTGCCTTCTGTTTGTTCTCTTTCTCTTTTAAAATTTAGTCGCTGTCAGGGTTGAATCAAGTGGGCTCTGCTGCTACCCTGCCTCATTCTTCTGCCTTCATGCCTATTAAGGTATCTCTTGTTACTGTAATGCACCGGGAGCTTTGGGGAGGGGTTGTGCATGGGAGCTCTTAAATTTTCCAATAGATTGGTCCAATGGCAATGTAAAATCTAGGAGTGTGTGAAATATCTGTAAGCTTATAAAACTATTTGTGAGTTTAACATTAATTTTGCTTGAAATTTTTGAAAGATTTACTGTGCTAGAAACACTCACAGAGCCTGCATTAATTCTTTATATTGAGATTCTGTTTGAAATATCGTTCTGATTTTCTTATCAAAGGTTATTTTTTTGTAATGAGTTATTTTACTTTGGCTGATAAATAATGTCAAATTAATTCTGTTGTCTGATGTGCATGCAAAATAATTTCAGCCCAGTCTCCAAAAGTGTCACTGCTAAAACCCTCTTATAGTAGAGGTCGACAAGCTGTGGGCCCCTAGGCCCCCTGTTTTTGTAAATAGTTTTATTGGCACAGCCACTCCCATTTGTTCCTGTCTGGCCTATGGCTGCTTTCGAGCTTACCAGCAGAGTTGGAATATGGCCTGCAAGCCTGAATAAAGAGCTTGTGGTATTTTATTTTTTGAAGGCCTGTAGGAATGGTAATTCCATATATATCATATGATATATAAGAAATTATTAATAATCTTCACTATTAAAAGGTTCTCCCCTTGTCTAACTTAGATCTGCCCCCCTGTGGTGTACACTTATTTCTTCTTCTCTTTCCAGTGTGGAGATTTTCTAGTTATTTAGCAGTCTTTATATTTGAAAACTATTACGATGCTGCCCTTGTCTTCTCACTGTAGAAATTCTGGTCATTTTATGTGCCTTTCTCAGTCTCTTAATCCTTTTGAGCTTTCACAAGTTCTCTGCCTTCCATTTTGGCTCCACAGTCCCCAACCAGAAACATATCCTTCACTTGAGCCCACCTGGCACTGAGCATGAAACAAGGCTTTTCACGTCTTCCTCTGAGCATTAGGTTGGCTTTTCTCATTTTGCTCAGTATCCATTGTAATTCTCAGATGTTTCTGTTATATTCCTAAATGATCATTAATTCCTACATCTTGTATCCTGTTTTTCTAAATACTTAATTTTGCTTTTTGAACATTTTTACTTCTCTGATTTACCAGAATACTTTCAAATTGTTGCATCATGTCCTTCTAAATGCTAGCCCCAACTTTGTAACATCTGTAAACCTGATAAACCTTCTCTCTAGTCGTTATTGAAGATGCTACACGTAGCTGGATGACTTCTGAAGAAACTTTATAATTCTCTTTTATGTTGACCCTTTGCTAGCCTTTCTCAGCCAGGTTCCTTATTTGAATGACAACACAGAAAATTGAGGGATCGTTCTCAAAATCTCTCAAGGAAGGTGTTTAGTATAGGAGATGTATAGGAGAGAAGCTAATTCATTACACTCAACGGATACCTTAGGGCATTGGAGCTTATTCTCTCTCCCAGAATCATAGTTGAAAAAGGCCAAATCTGAATGTGCCAGCCATTGTGTTGGTAAGTCTAACTTTCTGTTTGTCCAGACCCGCTGCAGTGTAAATGATTAGTTTGAAAAGACTGTATTTTTCGGTATCCCAGTTACTTTACAGCAGGTATATATTTATATATATTTAGGCAAGGGTTTATTTCTTTTATTGCTTAACCAGACAAGTAAAAGTTGAGTTCCTATCAATTTCTGTTTTTTGCTCCAGTTCTCCAAGAGTTCTCAAATATAGTTCATGGCCTCTAAATGATTTGAACTAATTATCTTCATATCCTAGAATGCAAGTCACTTAGATTTCTAGTTTCAATCAAAGTACATTTTAAAAATCATCATTCTAGGGCGCCTGGGTGGCTCAGTTGTTAAGTGTCTGCCTTCGGCTCAGATCATGATTCCCAGGGTCCTGGGATCGAGCCCCACATCGGGCTCCCTCCTCGGCGGGAAGCCTGCTTCTCCCTCTGCCCGCCACTCCCCCTGCTTGTGCTCTTTCTCTCTCTTTCTGAAATAAATAAATAAAATCTTTAAAAAAAATCATTCTGTTAGTTAAAAAATGTATCTTTATGTCATAAAGTTATATTTAATTTATTAAGTCGAGACGTCAAGGCCTGGGAAATTGTTACTCTAGCTTTTCTTGATTCTACTCTCCTGCCAAGTCTTCAGTATTGTTAGCCCATCCAACCAACACTTCTTTTTAAATTAGGTAATTACATTTCTTTTTTTTATTAAACTCTATACATGTTGAGCTAGCTCTTCCTCCTTTTTATAGTTCCCTTTGGTCAATGAAGTAAAAACATCTTGGACTCAAATGCTAGACTGAAAATACAGCTATCCATCATCTTTAAACACCTTATTTCCTAATTGAAATGAAGAGACCTTCATCATTTTTTTCTTAATACATTAAATTTTACTCTAAGGGGGAGAAAAATAATTCAGAAACTATACCAGAAAATGAAATTATAAAATGAAATTACTCTCCCCTGTACATTTGCCAGTAAAATTTTCTGCCCTAGGATGATCATTTTTCATAGTCCTAGGAAAGACCTATTAGACTATCTTTAGAGAATGCATTTTACATAAACCTCATATCCTATAGAAGTAAATGAAAAGTTTGGCCCTAAAACAATGTACAAAATTAATCATTACACCAAATTCTCATTTCTAGACTTAATTTTGAAGGAGAGTTGCATGATTTTTTTTCTTTTATCCCAGGTAATCATAAGTGTGGAAAGTACCCTTTCTTGAATAATAATTATTGATATATCTCTGTTTCTCCACAGAATGATGACAGATCTAATGCCATAGCAAGTTCACCTACAACAGAAACAGGTAATAGACACAAAGGTATAATTAACCACATCAAGAATAATTTTAACCAGGACTTTCTTGATAATTGCCTCAGAGCTAGCCTGGCTTCCTTTTCTGAGAGGAGAAACCAGACCCCAAATTGAGAACTTCCTGTACATTTTCCATTTTTTAATTCAACTGGTTGTTCAACTACTCAGCCATTTGATATGAGCCTATGAGCTTGAGCTAGCAGGGCTATAAGTTCCCAACAAGAGAATCTATTCAGTATAGTAACATTCGTTCTGCCTTTATTGATACAGCAAAAATAACATAACAGTTAAAAATACATACAAGCAGCCTTCCTGATTTCAAGGTTAATTTTCTGTACCCAATTTTGTATTAATAAACAAAATTATCATCTTATTTCATTACCAGGTTTAATTTGATCTTTGTTCCATTTATTGAACTTTTGTGACATGTGTGTCTGTTGTTACATTTAATTTTTTTTCCATCTCCTTTAATCTTATTTTGCTTTTCCATGCTGATGTAGTTCATCATTGCCCTGCATATTCTTTTCCTGCTGCTATGCAGAGAAACCAGGCCCAGCGCCCTGAAAGCTTCCTTTTCCGAGCAGCTGTCGGGGCAGAAGCAAATAAAGGTAGGTCACAGTGACTAAAAAGGGCGGGGGGGGGTGGTCCTCTGTATAACAACATTAACCATTATATGCTTTTTAACTTCTGCCCTGAGATGTCACTTTGGCAAAAGCTTTAAACTCTGCATTTGTCTGTGATCTCACTAACATTAAAGCAGGAGAATCTTGTTGGAATTTCTTAGTACCACCCAAAGGAGGTTATAGGTTTGAACAAATAAAATACTCTTTCAGGGCTTTAGGGAATGTTTCTCTTCTCTGTATTGAGCTCTTTTTCAGATTTTTCTGTTGATAAAAGCTGTTTTATGTGTTCTTAAATGAATCAGTAATTCTTTTTTTTTTTTTAAGATTTTTATTTTTTGAGAGAGATAGAGAGATCACAAGCAGGGGGAGGCGCTGAGAGAGAGAGGGAGAGGGACGAACAGACTCCCTGCTCAGCAGGAGCCTAACACGGGACTTGATCCCAGGACCCTGAGATCATGACCTGAGCCGAAGGCAGATGCTTAACTGACTGAGCCACCAAGTTGCCCAAGTACTTATTTATTTTTATTTATTTATTTATTTATTTTTAAAGATTTTATTTATTTATTTGAGAGAGAGAGAATGAGAGATAGCACGAGAGGGAAGAGGGTCAGGGGGAGAAGCAGACTCCCCGCTGAGCAGGGAGCCCGATGCGGGACTTGATCCCGGGACTCCAGGATCATGACCTGAGCCGAAGGCAGTCGCTCAACCAACTGAGCCACCCAGGCGCCCGCCCAAGTACTTATTTTTTTAAAAAATCTACTCAGTCTAATGTTTCTTAGTTAATATGACATACATCTGCCTGGCCTCCAAAGAAGTTACCTGGAGGTAGAAACAGACATTTCAAGTCAAAAATAACTACTTTTAGTGGAACTGATAGATGCTCTCACAGTGAAATTTAAAATCAAACCAGAGTTACACTGCATGTGGGATTGTAAATTAGTATGGAAAACTGTTTACATTATCTAATAATGTTGACATTTGTATCCTATGACCAGTTTTGCTTTCTGAAATACGTAAACACATATACCAGAAGATATGTACAAAAATATTTATAGCAACGTTATTCATAATAGCCCCAAACAGAGTGTCCATTAATGATGCAGTGGATAAATAACTGTGGCATATCTGTATAGTGGGATACCATATAAGCAGTAAAAGTGAACAAATAAATGTATATAACAATATGGATAAATCTCATAAACAGTGTCAATCAGACAAAACCAAGCACAGAAACATACAGTACAGCTTCATTTATAGAAAGTTCAAAACTAGACAAAACTGATCTGTGGTATTACAAGTCAAGTACATAGTTAAAAACCTGTGTCGTTGGGGCGCCTGGGTGGCTCAGTCGTTAAGCGTCTGCCTTCGGCGCAGGTCATGATCCCAGGGTCCCAGGATTGAGCCCCGCATTGAGCTCCCTGCTTGGCGGGAAGCCTGCTTCTCCCTCTCTCACTCCCCCTGCTTGTGTTCCTGCTCTCTCTCTCTCTCTCTCTGTCAAATAAATAAATAAAATCTTAAAAAAAAACAAACCTGTGTCGTTAGAAGTAACCTTTAGGTACTGATGGGCAGGGAGCATGAGAGGGACTTGCGGGTGTTGGTAATGTTGCATTTATTGACCTGATTGTGTCCACTTTGTGATAATAATTTATTGAGCTGCTTGCTTATGATTTGCATAATTTCTGTATGTCTGTTATTTTTCAGTAAAAACATTTTTAATCAAACAAAACTAGTTGAACTAAATGGGTAATGGACATTTGGTCATTTTAAACACAATTCTCCCTATTATTGTGTATATCTGAAACTTTTCATAATAAAAACTGTTTTTTAAGAGTCAGTCCAGAAGTGGGAAGTGCTGTACTTGTGAGGAACCTGTGACCAGGTGCCTCTTAAGTATTTTTCCAGCGCTAGCAACTGCCTGTCAGTCTTACATATTCATATTTTTTTAGGTCATGCTTCACCACTTCTTTCATCTTCTGCACCTACCACTGATTCTGCAGATCCCATAATGAGACCAAATTCAAGACCGAGAGAAGAAGAGCTGGAATTAATAGATCAATTACGGAAAGTGTGTACATTACCTTTGAATTACACTTTTGCAGTCTTATTGCTAGAGCCCATAACCCTGCAGTCACTTGTTCATTTGGCTTACAGTTTTTAATAGAATCAACAAGTGCCCAATGTGTGATAAACATAAAAGAGATTTTGCTATTAAGGACATTCTTTTCAGCTTTTACTAGGAAAACAAAATGGGTTATTCTATAAAGCTCAATTCCTAGCCCTCCTCATTTAAAAATTTTTCTGCCTCATGTAAGGAAATCTTGTAAGAGTAATAATCATTTATATGTGTGGACACAAGTACATAGACCTATAACATCACATGTAGTGTTTATTTTATTTTGGAATTGAGAGAGAATCTAGTTCTTTTGTATTTTTAGTCAGAAAATTGTAAATGAATTTCTCATGTATTTTGCACATACTGTGGCCCGGCTGCCTATGTATCTATTAGATCTCCTTACGTTACTGATTTGAGATAGAAGGATAAAATAGGGATTATGGTACTTAAGTTATTTGCTTTTTATCTGACTCCTAATTAAATATATTTCTTTGTAACTCCATTATGTCCTCCGTGTCAGCTACTCTTCAAGTTAACATGTTACACATTTTCCTGTTTTTTTTTTAGCATATCGAGTACCGGCTGAAAGTATCACTGCCTTGTGATCTTGGAGCAGCTCTAACTGATGGTGTTGTTCTTTGCCATTTGGCCAATCACGTGCGGCCTCGATCTGTCCCCAGCATCCACGTCCCTTCACCAGCTGTAGTAAGTATATCATGCTAAAAAAAAAAAAAAAAAGCTGGCTTTTCATCAGACATTTATTATGTACAATGGCAGGCACTATGCAGAATGCTCGGGATACAAATATGAATAGTCCAGTCCCTGTCTTCCCAGATCTCACTTCTACTAGAGAAGAAGTCAGCATGGAAACGATAATTAATAACAGTTGTTATAAGAGAGCTATGTAAGAGGTTGCTGTAGGAATACAAAAAAGGGAGCACTTAACTCTGCCTGGAGAGTTCAGGCAAGCCTGCCCAGAGGCGGTAGAATTTGAACTAGTTCTTACAGTATGAGTAGGAATTTGCCAGCATAGGGGCGCCTGGCTGGCTCAGTCAGTAGAGCATGCAACTCTTGATCTCGGGGTCGGGAGTTTGAGCCCCATGTTGGGCATAATGGTATTGAGAAAATTGCACAGCAACATGCAGAAGAATGAAACTGGACCACTTTCTTATAGCATACATAAAAATAAAATCAAAATGGTTGAAAGATCTAAACGTGAGACTGGAATCCATCAAAATCCTAGAGGAGAACACAGCAACCTCTTCGACCTCAGCTGCAGCAACTTCTTGCTAGACACGTCTCCAGAGGCACGGGAAACAAAAGCAAAAATGAACTATTGGTACTTCATCAAGATAGAGATTACTTTTTTTTTTTTTAAGATTTTATTTATTTATTTCAGAGAGAGAGCGAGAGAGGGAACCCAAGCAGGGGGAGTGGGAGAGGGAGAAGCAGGCTTCCCGCTGAGCAGGGAGCCTGATGCAGGGCTCGATCCCAGGACCCTGAGATCATGACCTGAGCCAAAGGCAGACACTTAACGACTGAGCCACCCAGGTGCCCTGAGATTACTTTTAAAAAAAAAAATAAAATGACTCAGAAGATTATTAAAAAAAAAAGAACTTGCCAGCATAAAAGAAAGGGGGTAAAGGCATCCTGGGCATAATATGCCTAGGTTCAAAAGATAGCAACAATCGTGGCATATTCAAGGAATTCTCAAGTTGTTTAGAATAGATGATGCACAATGTGTGGTTACAGATGGTGGGAGATATAGCTAAAGAGGGAAGCCAAGGGCCATGTGATAAGGGCGTTATGTACCATGTCAGGGAGTTAGAAGTTTATCTTAGTGTAGACAAAAGAATTTGAGGAAGAAAATGTGATTATAATTGCAGTTTAGAATGATGAATCTATTTTGGGAGTGGAATTGACATGATCTAGTGACCAACTTTGGGTGGAAAATGAGGGAGAATATGCATTCAGGATGACTGGCAGGTTTTCTTTAGACTGCTGGTTAGATCTAGAAGTCAGTATCAGGATGGTAACCCACAAAAGAAGGAGCAAAGTTTGGGGTTGACACACTCTCCTTTTTTTTCCCCCTTCAAATTTTCATTACCAGAATTTCAAACCTTCAGAAAAGTTGAAAGAATAATACGAGGAACACTCTTAAAGCATCTACCTAGATCTGACACTTATTTCATTTTGCAGTCTTGCTGTGTGTGTGTGTGTGTGTGTGTGTGTGTGTTTCAATTGCACTATTTAAAAGTTGCAGATAGGGACACCTGGGTGGCTCAGTTGGTTAAGCATCTGCCTTCGGCTCAGGTCATGATTCCAGGGTCCTGGGATCGAGTCCCACATTGGGCTCCTTGCTCGGCGGGGAGCCTGCTTCTCCCTCTGTCTGCCGCTCCCCCTGCTTGTGCTCTCTCTCTCTCTGACAGATAAATAAATAAAATCTTTAAAAAAAAAAGTAAAAGTTGCAGATAATATAAAACTTTATCCCCTGCATATTTCAGAGAACTGTTGTAAGACACCTTGCTCTTTTCTGTAGCCTATAGCCAGTGACTGACTGACATGGGAGCTGAGCCCTCCTGCCTTGAGGTGGGAGTGAGGTGTTGATTAACACTACGATGCTTCCTGTGGGATCAGGCTGAAAGAGAAGGGAATCTAGTGAGCCACTCGTAGCCAGTGGGAGTGGGGGTAGAAGGTAAGGATGGATTCCCGGACTAGATAAAGTGTTACTGGGTGAAGCACCAACAGCATCCCTCGGCTACATTCAGATTCCCCAGTTGTTCTAAGAATATCTTTCATAGTTGTGCCCCCCCTCCCCCACACACAACCAGAATATAATCAGGGTTCCCAAGGGTGCTGTTCATCTGTAACATGCTTAAAACATTGTCTAAACTTGCAAAAGGTTTGACCTCGTCTCATTTTCTGGTCATTTGTTATTATTTAGCAGGCACTTCCTGTTGCAAATTCTTTACTCAAATTGCAGTTGTATCTTGGCCTATAGATGGCCTCTTCTGGACATTCAGCTTGCTGCCTGTCTAAATGCGAGTCATTTACCCCTCCCAAGGACCTTGTATTCTTCTAATTATCAAAGCTGCTTTGTTACCAAAGTCCCAACGGTGATGATGCGGCCATATCCCCTCTGGCACATCCACAAATAGGGGGTTGCATTTGCTTCTCAGGAAAATTGGTAGCCACTTTTTATTTAGTGACCTCTGAAAACAGGCCTTCAGTTTTGTGTAGGAGAGGCAGAGAGGAACAGTAGCCCTACGAAAGTCAGCTGGGCTCCCAGAGACTGGAAAGACTTGGTCCTGGTCCTAAAGGTGGTGATTAAGAGAATAGGAATTGACGTACTATTTGGCAACACCAGTAAGGAAGGGGTTTATTCATACTTTGCATTCTTCCCCGTTTCTGTCAACTGAGTTCAGGGGGAAAAAATTGTTTTAATGATTTGAAAAAAGGACTTCGGCAACACCAGGAAGGAAAGGGTTTATTCATACTTTGCATTCTTCCCTGTTTCTGTCAACTGAGTTCAGGGGGAAAAAATTGTTTTAATGATTTGAAAAAAGGACAGATCTATCATTTTTCATTTCCAGAGGGAATACATGGGAAGTAGCAAACAGCTAATATACACAGTGGAATTTGAGAGTGAGGGTGACTGGGGTTCTTTACGTTGATTACCAGAAAACAGTGCCTTCCATGTAAGAACATGAAGTACATATAGGAAAAATAAAACTATTTTACAAATACTTAACTGCCTAAAGAAATGAAACACGTGGATCTTCCTGTTAGTCAAAGAAATATGGGTATAACATGAGATGAGACAATTTAAAACTTGCTAGTGAAGTCAACAACAAAACTTAACTCATCCAGTGCCAGGCATTCGGCCAGGACAAAAGGTATAAGATGAGTTACAAGTGGTACAATCTCTCAAGAACATTAATTTCTCTTTTAAAAAACAAAAAACAAAAGAAGTCTTTCTTTTTTTTTCAAGATTTTATTTATTTATTTGACAGAGACACAGCGAGAGAGGGAACACAAGCAAGGGGAGAGGGAGAGGGAGAAGCAGGCTTCTGCTGAGCAGGGAGCCCGGTGAGGGGCTCGATCCCGGGATCCTGGGATCATGACCTGCGCCGAAGGCAGACGCTTAACGACTGAGCCACCCAGGTGCCCCAAAAGAAGTCTTCCATGAAATATCTTTGACATTTAAAAGCAAGTAGGCCTATTAAGGGGCGCCTGGCTGGCGCCCCTATTAAGGGGCTGGCTCAGTAGAGCGTGTAACTCTTGATCTCAGGGTAATGAGTTCAAGCCCCACACTGGGTCCTGAGATTACTTTAAAAACAACAACAACAACACCACTCAAGTAGGCCTATGAAATAAAACTGTTTAAGAGAGGATCTTTTTTATTAAAAAATGACCTATAAAGTTAAGAGAAACACAAATACTAACACTTCCCAAATTATAACATTTGGGGTTAGAAAACAAGTGGACTTTAAGTCAGCCAGTTGAAAATTGTTCAGCATTTTAATTAAAAGCAAGCAAACAAACAAACAAACAGAACAGACCAAAAAACCCTACTTTGAAATTGTGATCGTGATTTTATAAATAAGTCAATATTGTGTTAATGGGGTTTCTGTTCTAGTACTCGATTTCAGTATAAATATTTACATCTACTTTTCCTTCCTATGGATTGCTTTCCTTTGTATTAGGCTATATTGCTTCCTTTATTTTGTTCTTCTGACCATAGAGAGAGCTTTGTAACTTACTTTCTTAGTAGAAGTTTTTTGTACGGAGAATATAAAATTAAAGCCACATACAAATGAAAAACCATAGCAGTTTCTTTATGGCTGCATTAAAGCATGATTTATTGTAATTCTTTGAAAAGTGGCTAATTACAACTCTGAGTATATAACTTAAAAAAGCACTTTCTTGATATTGTAAGAACCAGGATTTCTTTCCCCCAATTCAAAAAAAATGACCCCTCATTATAAGGGGATAAGGGGAGGTCTTAGGTCCAAGTATTTCGAAAGAAACGCAGAAAGTCATGTGTGTTTGCAAATAATAGGTTATAATTCATCTTTCTTTGTTATTTTGGGAGGGTCAATGATGTTTGATAAACTGCTGTTTGGTTTAATAGGCATAGGTGTTGTGTAGTACAGTTCACATTCTTAGAAATGTACCAGTGAATCATATCAAAAATCACTACAAATACGGTAATATGACAACCCACTGAGTAAACCATATCACCAAGGTAAATGACCTGAAAAACTTCTGAAGCATTTCAAGTTTCAGAATACTGGGAAATTGTTTATTTCTTTTGGTATAGATTATGCTCTTGTTGAAATTACTTTGTTCTCCAAAACCTGCATAAGATTTCTTATTCAGATCAGGCTGTACATTAAAGAGTTAGAACAGGCTATACACAGCTCTCCAAAACCATATGTTATGTCATCCAAACTTCTGGAAAAGCTTTTGGGGATAGCAGGTTCTGTGAGACTTAAGGCAAAATCATGAGTTCTTCTGCACTCCAGAGTGCTAAGGTATCTATAGCGTGGGTCCTTTGGACTAGCCATTCTGTTGGACACATTTGTAGCCTGGGATCAAGCATTCCTGGGGCTCTTCGGGCTCCATGAATTCCCTCATTTGCCCGTGCGTGTGTATTCTTCTCCAGAGTAGATTCACAGACTTTCACCAGACTGTAAGGCGGTTGATCCCATTTAGGAAACACTGTTCTGCATCCCTGGAATTTGGATAAATGCTAAAGGAAGAAATGACTGGGGAGAGAGCTGGTTTTTCCTCCTTCCTCTTCACCTTCACCAGTCAGAACCCTGCTGTGTACAGGGTGAATCTCAAAGGGCATTTTCTCTTTGGCCCCCCCACGGCCCACCCCCAGCAAACACAGAGACATCTCTTACGTCTTGGGGTGCTAGTAGCCTTCATGGAGGTAATGTTGAGTTGGTTTCCGTGATCACTATTCTGAGCCTTTTCTTTTTTTTCTGAGATGGGGGTGATTCCTGGACCAGTTTTAACTTAGCAACATGAATTCCATCCTTTTAGCCTCTCTTTTGCATAGAAACCGAGTTGTTCTTCTTCCTGTGTAGTCAGACCTATTTCACTCTCCCCTCCCATGGATGTTGGCATCTGAATGGTGGAGTTTCCGAAATTCAGGGGTTTTTCTTTTGTAGAATGAAATTCCCAGTCCCTTTCTTTTGCTGAAGTCCACGGTGCCCTGTTCACACACCCCTAGCCTTCTCTCCCAAACTCAGATCAACATACTAGTTTGCTTAGCTAAGGTCCCTTGGTAATAAGAGAAGCTAGTTACATGGTTTCTATGTCCATTTTTACAGGTAGAAAGGGAAACTGGTATAGGGAGAGGGAATTTCTAGCCAATGAAAAATTCTCCTAAGTACAAAGCAATTGTCTTATGTTTATTTGCCCAACTTCCCTTAAAGTTAAGCCCTTGTCCTAATAGCTTTCACCACAGTGACTTTTCCTTTGTGCCTCAGTTTACCTTATGTCTCCCTCTTTAGCCAGGAGTTGAGAAGACCACAACATCACTTGTCCAATGAACACCCTGCTCTTTCACATGTAAAAAGTTGGAAGAGAAGGAGCCTAGCTCCAGTGTGAATTAGCCAGTGTGAACCCCACAGTGGTTTTTCTCCTGTTAAGTAGATCATGAGTCTACCATTTGTTTCACTCTCTTTTAGAAAAACAGAAAACAAAAAAACTTTCTTACCTCAATGATGAACAACTTGGCAGAGGCAAGAATGGGTACTCTCCTAGAAACCTAATTCCTGTCCTCTTTCTGGACGTTTTTGAAAGTTTTTCAATTTGAAATTTAAAAATTATTATTGGAGTGCCTGGCTGGCTCAGTCAGTGGAGCAGCGCAACTCTTGATCTCACTGTTGTGAGTTCAAGCCCCATGCTGTAGATATTACCTAAAAATAAAATCTTTAAAAAAATTTTTTTAAATTTATTTTCAGTTAAACTCTTTTTTAAAGATTTGTTTATTTTAGAGAGAGAGGACATGTGAAAGCAGGGCAGGGAGGAGGGGCAAAGGGAGAGGGAGAGAGAATCTCAAGCAGACTGCCTTCTGGGTGCAGAGCCGATGCAGGGCTTGATCTCATGATCCTGAGATCATAACCTGAGCCAAAATCAAGAGTCGGACACTTAACCAACTGAGCCACCCAGATGCCCCTTAAAAATTTTTTTAATTATTATTACTATTTTCCTTTCATCCCACCTTTTTATTTTATGTTTTTTAAGATTTTTATTTATTTATTATTTGACAGAGAGAGAGTGAGAGAGGGAACACAAGCAGGGGGAGTGGGAGAGGGAGAAGCAGGCTTCCTGCGGAGCAGGGAGCCCGATGCGGGGCTCGATCCCGGGACCCTGGGATCATGACCTGAGCCAAAGGCAGCTGCTTAACGACTGAGCCACCCAGGCGCCCCCCACCTTTTTATTTTTTATAATAAACGCAATCCTAGCCCCTGCTACCTTTCTCAGGCCGAGATTATAGTCCTCAAACACTATTATATATTTATTTATCTCATTTCCCCTCTTCTCATGATGGAGTATCATATTCCATCTTTGAAGAAAACCCCGGTAAAACCTTTGTTTTCTAGAGGTGGTACAGGCTTCCATCTGCTTACCTGTGTAAAATCTCTAAGGCGGCGTTCGTGCAGACATTCTGCTTCCATGCCTGATGCTTAAACATATTGGAAACCAGCCATGAATTTGAACACTTGAATTTGTTAATCCTTCTGGGAAATGGAATTCATATTTCTTCCTTACATTATAACCCATACATAACCCACTAGGTGAAAAACTTTTTCACACCTTTAGGTCATGTGATACAACTCTGTTGTTAGTAAAAGACCTTTTCAGAAAAACAAGCTAGTTTACTAATTAGAAGTTAGGGAAATTTCCTGCAGGAAATTTGCACCCTTTGGAAAACAGGTTCTTTAATCCAGTCTTTTAAAATTCAAATGTTTAAAAACATTTCAGTATTACCACTGAGAGACATGATGCATCGGTAGTATATTTATGAGCAAAAGCTGTTGATTTTTTTTTTTAATTATCTTTTTTAGTAAAGATTGCAAGGAAATGAACTAAAGTGTTGACTGTGATTATATTTGAATGATAGGACTGTGGGTAATTTCTTTCCTATCATTACAAATTTTCTTCAGTGTATATTGTTTTAAATGGATAAAAAAATTTAAACAACTATCTCTCTAAAATTTCTCTGTATTTTGCAGTTGCCTTACAAAAATCAAAGTAAATTGTCTAAAAGTAAATCGTAAATAAAGTTTTACTGGAATACCTATTTGCTTATATATTGTCTGTGGTTGCTTGGAAGCTCTTAGCAGATCACATGTGGCCCTAAAGACTAACATATTTATTATCTGATCCTCTAGGAAAAAGTTTGTTGACCCTGTGGTCTAGAATGTTGAATTTGCAAAGCAGTTGGCAAGAGTATTTTTAAACTTTGGTAGTAACACCACATTTTCCTTCCTTTGTAGCCTAAATTAACAATGGCAAAATGCAGGCGGAATGTGGAGAATTTCCTAGAAGCTTGCAGAAAAATTGGTGTACCTCAGGTAATAAATTTATCATTTCTTGTATTGCCTAAATAGACTTGGGTATTATTTTTCTAAAATTTTTCAGATATGCGAGTATCTGAAATCTTACAGGACTTGCTTTAAACGAAGTTGGTAATTACTAACATGATGTGTACTAGAGTCAGTCAGTATACTTCTGAGCAGTTTTCCTTAATTATTTCCAAGGACCAAGCAAAGAAGTAATACACATATAAATTTAAATATATTATAATACTTAAAGCTAAGTAATCAGTAGTTATTTTGACATTTTCCTAAACATTCCTACTTGCTGTTTGACTCGTATATATCTTCATACATCAGAGTTTGGGCTTCAAAATGAGCGCATCTCAGACTGAGAATGCTTCCTTTGGTTTCAGGTTTTTTAACATTTACTTTAATACTTTTTAAAAATGTTTATTTTGAAATAATTTAGGCTTAGAAAAATGTTGTAAGAGTAGCACAGATCTGTAACAGTAACTGTCTGTGCTACTATCTGCACTTGACCCTGGTTCCGGAACCGTTAACGTCATCTACGTAAACATAGTGTGTCGTCCAGACTGACAAGCACTGGGACAGTGCTCAGATTTCACTAGTTTTTCTACTGAGCTCTAATACTTTGGAATTTAGCACACACGAGGCCGTTTCTAGGCATTTGTCCTGCCCTTGAGATTTATTGTCTCCAGTGTCTCAGATACAGCTTTCTTGCCCTTTAATAGCACAAGTAGTTAAACTTGATGGATGTGATTAAGAGACATGAACTTACACACGTTTTATTTGGTTATCCCTTTTAAAAACAATTATGTTAAACCAACTAAGCATGGTACTCTTAAAATTTAAAATACTGTACTATATTTAATGACATGAGACACAGATCCACTTAAAGAAATAACCACTTGGTGCTATTTGATACTTTGTTTCATTAACCATGACCCTTACAGTTCCTGTCATCCTATTTGGTGTCCACCCTTCATGACGAAAAACATGACTCTTTCCTATCACCTTCTTAATTCTCTATCACCTTCCCGTCAGAACCCCAGGACTGGCCCCTGGACTCAACCCCAGTGTTGCTCTTGAACTTAAGCCCTTGTCCTAACAGCTTTCACGACAGTGACTCTCCCTTTACGTGGCTCCCTGGTCCTCTCTCTTAGCTAACCTTGTGTTGAGGAGGTCACAGCACCGCTCGTCCTGTGGGCAGCCTTCCCTTCGCAGCCCTTGTACGTGCTGCAAGGTGGAAGAGAACGAGTCCGGCTCCATGGAGCATCTGCAGGAGTCGCAGTGAAGTCCCACGATGGTTTTTTTCCCTTTTACTAAGTAGAGTGTAATTTTATTTATTTTTCACTGTTTTCTTTTGTGGGTTTGGTTTTTTTTTAACCCGAGTTATAGAAAGAACTGAAATTTACATCTGTGGTAGTTAGCAAGGATCTTTTTTTGTTCCTGTGGACAAATTCAAAGCAGATTTTTCATTATTATATCCTATTGTTTTCTAAAGGCTCATTTCTTTTAGAACAAACCATTTTAAACATAGCCTTAGTAGTTTCCAATCAAATAGCATGCATTTTCTCCGTATCAATAAGCAGGTTCTAATATGCAGAGGCACACACTAACAGTCGGTCAGTGCTTCCTTCTGTCTGTTGGAAGATGTTCCCCCCTGATCATCACGTCACACGAGCATGCCCACGCCCTGCCCCAGTGCGTACCACCATGTCTTGAATCAAAAGAACGTAGCACAGGTTAGTGCAGGGCATGGGGACCAGAGAAAAGAGAAGAGTCAAAAGAGGCACCGCGTAGCTCAGGAGAAGAGTGCTGCAGACACCCCCAGACGGCACAACCTGTGTGCACACGCGGCCAGTGGCAAACCCGTTCAAAGTACCGTTCACCAGCTTTACAGTCCTTATACTTGCACTCCGGGCTTCAGAGAGCCATCATCTGTCTCAGATGTAGAGTCCATACACTGAAGTTCTTTCCAAATGTACCTGCCAACAGTCAGCAAAATACAGTCTGCCTTAAAATGCGTATTTGATTTAGCATTTGCCGAGCAATGGTTAACAGGAATGATTGTGGGCCAGCCTGTCCCTATTCCTACCAGAGCTGTGCTATGTGAAGGCAGGAAACAGAAAAAAATACAGATTTAAAGGACTGGGTATTTTTCCAGGGTGGTTAGACTGGGGTTCTTAACACATCCTTCCTCCCTCTCAGTCTCCGCAGTCCGACAGAGGAAGCGGGCAGTTCCGGAGGCCCCCTCTTCCTGTCCCCTTCTGCCTTCCACCCAAATCTCTGCCACCATCACCGCCGCCACCGCCACTTTTAGACAGGTTCCTCGTACACTGCCCCACTTCTGCTAAAAAAGTAGTTATTGGCTTAGAACAAAGTGAAGGAAAATGAATAAATACATCAACTCCTAGGTTCACAGTGGACCTCTCAGGTCCCTCTGCCCCAGGAGAAAAGCAGAAACCATTCCTCCTCCTCTTCTTGGTGCTCCCCTACTTCTGGGTGTTCCGACCTGTAGCTCAACACCCCCCCTTCTCTTTGACTTGTCAAGAAAATCAGGGATATAATAATCGTCACTTTTGAAAATGTGTAACATAAAACTAATTGTATTTGTCAGAATTCTGTCCAGACACTGTAAAGGTGAACAGTGTCCCTTCTCAGTACAAGTTTTAAAGTGCTGGTAAGTTCTGAATGAAACACTAAAGAAAAAGATGACTCTTGAAAACCTCTGAGAAGGCTGGGCATGTGGGTATTCTCTTTATTATCATGCTTTTATTAAGTATGTTACATTCAGAAAACTGTAATGGGTGATAAAAATGTCTGTTTTGAGTCCAACATCTTATGTCCTAGAGTTATTATATGTTACGTGTTGAAGAATATTTTCCTGTTCTCCAGTCCCATTGTGTTTTTATTTACTTATTTAATTTCTTCGTCTGTGAGCCGGAGGGTCTGGGTGATCTGTAAGGCCCTTTACCACTCCAGATTCATTTCGTACATACTAGTAATCTGGACTCGAAGATGGGCTTGCCCTGATTTTGAGAGGAAGATCAAATCGGTCAGTACACCTGGCCTCCGGGTAGTAAGCTTCCTTGATCCATAGGCTCTCCTCATTCTGTGACCCTCCCTGACTCACCTGGCTTTCTCTGAGCACTTCCCTCTCCTCAGCCTGCCCCCAGGTTTGGTCCTGCTTTCTGGCCCGTTCTTTTTTTGTTAATAGGGAGGAATGAGCCAGGGAAGAGGTTGTTGCCTGGCCCAGACCTCACCACTTGTAGGCGTCCCACAACCCTGGGCCAGCAGCCAGTTCTGTTCACCACACCCTGAGTGTCTGTACTGGTCACCACCGAGCCAGCTTTATTCTGTTTAGTAGTAAAATCAAGCTCAGCACGTGGAGGAGTCCTAGTAGTTATGTTTTTCAGTATTTTATTTTCATTCCTCATAGTAAAAAATCCTCCGAGGTTGTGTTTCTCTGAGTATGATTGAGATGATCATGTTGAATTCTATACTCAAATCTGTATTTCTGATCCACTAACTTTGTTTTTCTGTTTTCCTTTCCTGCTCACACTTTGGACAGGACAATCTTTGTTCCCCTTCTGACATCCTTCAGCTAAACCTCCGCGTTAAAAGAACTGTTGAAACACTACTTTCTCTTGGGGCACGTTCAGAAGAATCCAGTTTTGTCTCTCTGTCTATCCAGCTTTTGGGTTTTGTGGCATTTTATTGTACTTTAATGTTAACTCTCTGTCTGCTTTATTACTGGATCTTTCCCCTCTAGCTGAAAGATCGTACTCCAGCGATTTTCCACCTCATTCCTATGCTTGGTGAAGGAGGTTTGTCTCCCGTTACGAAGTATTTACATATGTGCTTTTTCTTTTTTTTTTCTGGCCATCAGAGAGCTGACCAGTAAAGTAGATAAATCCTGCCCTCCTATGTCCAGATGAACAGCCCATCACATTAGTAAGCATTGATGATTGCTCACAAAGAGTAAAAGACCAGCATTTTTTCTCCTGGTCCTTTGTCCATTCTCCTGGCCTGTGGCCTTGTTTCTCTTGTCATAAGTGCTGAGGTGTCTCTGATACAATCCTGACCTGTTCTTAGAATCTGACTTAGACCTATATTTCCAAATGTCATAATAAAAGTCCCATGTGGCCATTTTCCAACCTTTTCAACAGCTGCTCATAAGGAAAATAGTTGTACCCTTTCCGGTTGGGGAGGCACCTGATCACTTAGATCTCTGCATTGAGCTATGCCCTAAAATCCTGAAATCTGCCTGTATTGGTAGGTACAGGTCCACCTAAGCATTTACTGTCTGCACATCTGGAAGCACTGACCATTTAATCTTAATAATTTTAATTTGATCAGAATGTTCAGTCCAAAGATCAGGTAGGTTCCTTAGATTGCTATTCTCAGTCCACTGTGTACATTTAAAATCGTCCACAACAAGCAGATGATCTGGAGCTGACCCTTCAGGAGTAGGCACCTGTCCAGATTTACTATGCTTATTATCATTAGCTGAGCTTCACCTCTAGAATCCTGTTTAGAATTTAAAATTGAAATTTATGTAATTTCCAATATACTTGAACCATCTTAGTAGGTGAGCTGGTATTGAATTAGGCTGTTGAGAAGGTTATATCTGAACAGTAGTAGCAGGTAAAGTATCAGGCAGCAGTCTCTGTTCTGTACCCAAGGCAGTGAGTGGGTACTGTCTTCTTCAGAATGTTTAGTATTTAAGCTGCTAGCCTTAATACTTGGAACTACTTTATGATTGCATTCAGATTCTAGTTCTCATAAATAGGATCTCTGAACATTCAGGAATGTACTGAATTCAAATATGAAGGGAAATTGCAGGGAACATAACACCCTGTTGTAGAAGGCAGCCTGAGGGTCTGGTTGCTTTAGTTTTCTTCCATATCAAATGGGACAATTATTTAACACATTAAAAATGTATTTCCTATTGTGCCAAAACATTGAACACTGTTGAAAGGCAGTTTTATACAGTAGGAGTACCTTCCAGAGTTTGGGAGGTTTCCTTTGTTTTGATTTTAAGATGTCTTGAGTTGAAGATCATTCAGTTTTGTGGAGTTTTGTCCCTTTAGGAAATAAAAAACACGTGGTCTTGCGTGTGGTTTGGGGGGAGTAGTTGTACATTCTCTTCAGAGCACACGGCGTTCCCTGTAAGCTGCCTGGAAGGTAAATGTGCATCTGGAAAGCATGAGCCTTGGGGAGAACGGCTAAACCACATGCCACGCAAGGCACTCTGGAGAAGAGATCAGGGAATTGGCGTCAGAGAAAATATGCCTCTCCCAAGAGCAAAACACCCTGCAGGTTCATTTTACACTAGTTCATCTGTACTGACAGTGGTACTCAAAGTATTTATACAAAGTTGCTAGTTTTATAAGGTCAAAGGATCACGGTTACCTTGTTTTATCAAGTATTAAAATTTTGAGTAAGAAGCACAAGGACCCATAACTGTTCAAAATAAATGTTATATTTTCTATTGCAACTAATTTTGTAAAACTTCCTAATAATACAGTAAAGTGCCAATGAAAAGTCCAGCTCTCTTCTTTAATAAACGTGTGTAGTCTCCTTTTTAGTGGAACCAGAACTCTACTTTCTGTCCTTTGTGAGCAGTGTCTATTTTTCTGAATATTTAGTCTTAAAAGAAAAACCAATGATAGGTGCTATTCTTAAGCTCTGCCTTTTTCTCTTTCGAGAAAGGATTAACCAAACATTAATGAGGCAAACACGATAGAAGTATTTTAACTTCCTTTAGGAAACATATAAACACCTTTCAAATATACGGTAATTAAGACGTTCCTGACTAAACTCACATCACCGTTCTCTAGCATGATTTAATCCATTCGATACCAGGATATGAAATAGTGGTTTCTTCCTGTGTTCCCTGCCTGGTACAAGAGCCCTGATTTTCACAATCAGGATTATAATGTAGCTGGTGGGCATCCCTCCCTCCCTCGTGCAGTCTGGCTTATGGCATGAACCCAGTTACATCCCATGGTTATGTAATTTCGGGAGCACTTTCTCCTGCAGTGTTAGATCTTTCGGGCTTGAGCCATCTGGTAACTTGGAACTGCTTTTCTGTTTTCCCTGCCTCCGTTTGCTGATCTGCATTGCTCTTTTATTTATCAGGGATGAAGGGTGTTGCTTTGACTCCATAGTATTCTGTTATCCTCTGTTGTATGTATTAAGTGTCTATAACTTGTCCTTATTCCAGTTTTCAAAGTGACCTGTATGTACGTTCAGTTGTTTTAATAAAGTGAGTGTCACATGCCATCTCTGCGTAACTCGTATGAACAGAGGTCAGTTCCCCAGGTGCTGACCTGTCCCATCTCAGGTGACTGTTAGGAGGGAGAGAAGAGGTGCTTATTTTTTCTCTTCAGTTCGTTGATGTTCATCCTGTTTTCTCTTTTGTTTGTTTTTATGTTACGTTGTCCCATTTCAGGAGCAATTATGTTTGCCTCTGCACATTTTAGAAGAGAAAGGTTTGAGCCAGGTTGCAGTGACGGTGCAGGCTCTCCTGGAGCTTGCCCCCCCCAAGCAGCAGCACCACTTGTCTGCTGCGTGAGGACCCCCAGCACCTGGGCGCTGGCCCGGCCAACCCGGAGCAGGACGGGATGCTGCTGCCAGCCGGCTGCTTACGCAAAGCTCTTGCGTGCTCTTACGAGGGACTGTTTCCATGATTCCTAACAGGAATATGTTGCTTCATTTCTCCATTTTAGGGGAGGTTATATCCGTTTCCATGGGACTGTTTTAGGAAGACACAGTTGGTTTTCGCAAATGAAACTTAATTCTGCCATTACTGAGAACCCGACACCGAAGCCTAAACTGGCTGTGCTTTCCTAGAGAGCAGGCTTGTCTCCCATTCCAGGAAGAAAGCTTTTCAGAAGGATAGTTAGCTTTCCTGAAAGCAGAGACATGTTACTATCTTTACCTGTTTCCTGTTTCTGGAACCCACTGGTTTCCAAAACTGGCTGTTCATTAGAATCTCCTGGAGCATTTGTTAAAATGTAGATTCTCATTCCAGTAGGTCTAGAGTGGGGCCTGGGTATCTGCATTTTCAACTGACATAGTGAGACCGCTTTCCCAAGCTGGGTATTTTTTTGTATGATGTCGAGAGTAATGACTCCACTATGTTTGTAGCCTCATTTAAAATCCGAAGCTATGTTACGATTACCTGGGACTGTCTGTCCAAGGCAAAACAAATACAATGTAGAAGGCCTAGACTTTTGCATAGTAAAGCAACGAGAGAGGTAAGTTGTATTTAAGGCCAGTGTCTTAGGCCTTCCTCAGACTTCTGTCCGCCACCACCTGAAGCTTTGTTCTCGTATGTGACATCCGAACATTATAAACAAGCACTCTACACACAGGTTCCAAACCCTTAGGATGGTAACAGGCACTACTCAGCATCATTTTCACTGAGCTCCCCCCACGCTGCTCCCAGGATACCGGGACCTGCAAATACCTTCCCCTCATGGCAGATACACTTCCAGCTCCCTGACCAATGGAAGATTATGAAAACAGAGCAGGAGGAGTAAAAGAGAAGCCAAGTTTCTTAATTTCTTTCAAATAACTGCCAGTTTCCATGGCTGACTTAAAGCACTTGTGGCCTCTTCAAAAACCGCGTGCTGTCTCTGTAGCTAGCTCGTCCAACTCTCCCGCTGGTGCCTTCTTCACTCAATTGTGGGCCAAGCAAGAGGGCCCAAAGGGCTCATGGAGCACAAAGCCAGGAACCTTTGTTCAAGTGTAAGCCACTAAGGTCTTTCTTACCCTAACATTTTGAACCCCTTTTAGTTGTCAGCATATCTTTTGGTATTCACTGCCTTTATAAACCAAGTAAATAAGAGTAAGTGAAGATGCTAGTTATCTGAGATTTTTTGGGCTGTGAACTGTTCTGGACTTTCTTTACCAATGCATGCATTTGAGCAAAATGTTCTCTCTTTATCATGTAAATGCAGCATCTAAAAGTAACTGGATAAAATCATGTTGAGTATCTGATCAAAAGAATGTTTTCTCCCTGTTCTCACAGGGAAACAGGTTCAGCAGAACATTCCACTTTGTCAAAGTTTAACATAAAACATCTGATATCAAAGCCCCACTGACCTTACAGAACAAAAGTAAAATTTTTTTAACTGCTTAGAGCCAGACCCCATTATATTTACAGTTCTAAACAGACCCACCAATCAAAGCGACTTGTTGAGAATTTAGCTGTGTGCATTTTTAAACTATAGGTATTTCTCCTTCTAGTCAACATTAAACCTCAGTACAATTTCCGAATAATAGAAGCCATTTGAAATGAAACTCAGCAAAGAACAGGACTGTTTGTCACCTATTATGCAAGGAGTAATCCCAGAAGACATACATAATGCAACATTTGGAAGATTTGCAACTATTTATCCTATAGGAATAAGTGGAAATTTCCACTTATTTTACATCTTATACATAACGTGCAACCTTATTAATGCATTTTTATCAAACTAATGCAAATTTATATTTGAATTACTAGAAAAAAATTGTGTACAGTTTTGGTTGATAGTGAAAGAAAAATATCAAATGTATTGAATTTCTTTTCTAAGTCAAGATGCAAAAACATTTCGTGATGTTTTTGCTAGAAAATTTTTGTATTCAGTGTTCTGTATGTACCTTTTTTTTTTTTTTTTTAATAAACTGGAAAGAAAATTTAACATTCAGCCCTGCTAGACTCCAGTGTAAGATAAAGGTGCTGTAGTGGATCTGGCTGACCATTTATGAGCTTCCTACTGAAGCAGTGGCCAGCCCAGCGCGGAAGTATGAACAAAGAGGCGGCTAAGTGCCCACCCAGCAGGGGCCCCTGGCAGCTGTGGAGACCATAAGTCAGCAGGTTCTCTGGAAACAGCTTCTGGCTGGAGGGGCCGTTGTTTGGCTAGAACAGAATAGGGGGCTTATTAGGAGGTCACTCTCTTTAATAGCTTTTTAAAATACAGCCTCATAGCTAATTAAGGAGTCTGTGATTTCTCTTACTTGCTACAGCTCAGCAGTGACTAATGACATGTGACTATGCTGATGAGTAGGACAAAGTTTTAACAACTAAGTGCTTAAAATGGTTATAGAAATGAAGGAAAACATGGATATTTAGAAACTTTTTTATATACTTATTGCAGTGAGATGGTTTACAGCAGATTTCATTTTATTTCTGAAAATGTTGTAAACGTGTAATTAGTAAAAGATTTTGTAAAACATTGTCCTATATTTGTATGTCTGTAAATATAATGCATAAGTTCTAAGTATAAATATGTCAATATCATGTATGTTATTTTAAATTGCCTGTATGCCACCTTACTTGTTGACATGAAAATAAAAGCCAACACTTCAATCGCATGAAATAAAGGCTGACTTGAAAATGTTCATACCTAAAGCATGGTTTCCTTGGCAAAAATGAAAGGTTACTTACTTAGTTCCCTGAGGGAACATCAGTAGAAACTGGTTCCTCATAACAGGCCCTTGAGATCAATTTTATTTATTTATTTATTTATTTATTTTACTTTTTTTTTTAAGATTTTATTTATTTATTTGACAGAGAGATAGAGAGCACAAGTAGGCAGAATGGCAGGCAGAGGGAGAGGGAGAAGCAGGCTCTCCACTGAGCAGGGAGCCAGAAGTGGGGCTCGATCCCAGGACCCCAGGATCATGACGTGAGCCGAAGGCAGCTGCTTAACCGACTGAGCCACCCAGGTGCCCCTATTTTTTTTTACTTTTGTAAAGAAGTATAGATAACAGTATTGCCCTGTATTTGGAATTACATTTAAGGCTTAATTTGTGAAATACATATTGGACACTTTTCTCTCAGAAATTACCAACTGTGCGGGGCGCCCGGGTGGCTCAGTTGGTCAAGCGACTGCCTTCGGCTCACGTCATAATCCTGGAGTCCCGGGATCGAGTCCCGCATCGGGCTCCCTGCTCGGCAGGGAGTCTGCTTCTCCCTCTGACCCTCCCCCTCTCATGTGTTTTTCTCTCTCTCTCTCTCTCATTCTGTCTCTCTCAAATAAATAAATAAAATCTTTAAAAAAAAAAGTTTTAGAGATTACCAACTGTGCAATAGGGAAAGCTTTAGCATCCCGAGACACTCTGCTTGGATTATCTTTACTCTTTCAGTCATAATATCCTGCAAAGGGAGAATTGTTGAGGAAGCAAAGTAGGCAAAGACCCCGGTGTCTCACTGATCAGAAATCTCTGCAGCTAGTCTTCCAGCAGGCCTGTGTCCCCACCTTACTAGGTTGTACATCCTAACAGTTCTGTTTATTCTAATTCATTATTTATTTATTTATTTATTTATTTAAAGCTTTTATTTATTTGAGAGAGAGGATGAGATAGAGCATGAGAGGGGGGAGGAGGGTCAGAGGGAGAAGCAGACTCCCTGCTGAGCAGGGAGCCCGATGCGGGACTCCATCCCGGGACTCATTTATTTTTTAAATTTATAATTTATATCCCTACCTATTTCCCAGAAAAGGAGCTGAAGCAACTTATAATAAGATACGTATTCCATGCCCCCACCACCCCAACAAAAACACCAAAGTGATAATAAACCTAAAAGACAGGAAGGAACCAACCTTTGGACCTTATACTGTGTCTATATTATGCTAGACACTTTATAAACATTATTTTCTAATTCCGAATGAACACTTGACTTTTGCTCAAGAGCTTTTTCACTGTAGACAAATGACAGAATCCGAGACATTACAGAAATTACTGAAGTTTTAATGCATCACAATAACGAATAAGCCCATGAACTTCTTTCTGGTCAGAAAAAGCAAGAGAAATCTTTACAAGGCTCCTAGCAATACTTCTTCCCAGCAAAAGTTTTTCAAAATATGAAGCAGCCCTAAGTCGATGGTATACTCCTAATTCAGGGTTTGAAAACTAATACAACAGGCAAAGGGAAAGAACCAGGCAGCACCTGGGAATGTCCAAATAAGAAACAACCTGTAGATACAAGTTACCTGGGCTGCTAAAATGTTCTTCCTCCCTTCAAGTCCTCCTCGCCATCTCCAGAAGACCAGGGCAAAAGACGAGAACTCCGTCACTTGTTCTTGCCTTTCCGCTTGTCCTTGTCTTTGCCTTTACCTTTAGAATCCTGGCCATCATCTTTGTCCTTCCTCGGCAGTCTGAAACCACCGATTTCCCTCCGTACCCTAATGCCTCGCCACCAGGCCTGGAGCTGGAAGAGAAAGGGGGGGGTGAGTACAATTCAGGGTAGGCCTGCCAAGCTGCATCCTTTTCGCATAAGGGAGTTGTCTCGTCATAAAGTAACTTCTGTCTGAAGAATGGTGTGTGTCTGAAACACGGAAGCAGCCACGCCCGCTCTCCCTCCAGCCACGCTCCCCTGTTTGCTGGATCCAGAACTGAAGCCACGGACTCCAGAGTAAAGTTCTCAAGGAGTAAACGTAAAGAAAAGGAATCTGATTAGGCCATTCTTTACTTTACACCTAGAAACCTGGTTCCCATGTACTGCTTCTCTTTAGGAACATCCAAGTTCCCCACATCCAAACCATTTGATCCAAAAGGGATGTTAGTTAGCTAGGCCAGCATTTGGTCAAAAATGTGCAGATAATTTTGATGACTTCAGTAGGCTTCCTGGTGCATTTCATGGCTTTAATGATTGATAAAAGGATCAGTACTCCTCTTTCAAAAAGGATTTCGATAGCTGCTTAAATATCTTAGTTATTAAACACAACTGTTCTGAATACAGTCTGGGCCTACTTTAAAATCAGACAAAGCCCTAAAGACTGGGAGCAAATCCATTAGTGAAAACAAGTTTTCAGCTAGTCCTTAACATTTTTGCTCTAAATCAAGGAATCCTGCCAAATAAAAAACACCAGAGAGGCTCGATAAAAATCCTTGCTAACTAGACATCTGCCTCTCTCCTAATAGAAAGCTCATGTTTAGGTTTGGATACCTGGTTCTAAATGTACTTTAAAGCTCTCTTAATCTACCCCATGACATATATATCAACAAACTTCTGTTTGCACACTAGGATCTCAGGAGACACTCCTCTTTCAGAGAGAAAGGCAATCCTCTAAACAACAGTCCTGGTCCAGCTGATGTTACTTTTGCTTGAAAATATTTCCCAGAATCTGACCTGCCAGTTTCAACATGACTAATATACATGAGTTCATATAAAATTAAAAATTTTTTTTTCTAGACTGCTACATATTCCCTCCACCTTTTTGTGAAAACAGCTCTTATCAGAACCTAGCAGATAGCCTGGGCTAACATATAAATAGGATTTTGAGAAGCTCCTCCAGGGGCGCCTGGCTGGCTCAGTCGGTAGAACATGTGACCTTGAACTTGGGGTCATGAGTTCAAGCCCCACGTTGGGGGCAGAGTTACTTAAAAAAAAAAAAAAGCAGCAGCTCCTCCAAGAGCTGTTCTGATTATAAATAATATTCTTAAATTTGACTTTTGGGAGCAAGTTCTAGGTCCTGCTTCCCCTGCTAACCACCACTTTCCCCTGGATTAAGAGATGGGGACATGTCCCTTGCTATGTGAACTATTTCCCTGCACCAAGGACTGCAGGCAAATTCCAGTAATAACAAAAGGCCATCCTTCCTTAGAGATCTCCTGTTCAATGCTTCATAATAAATGAGAGAGACTTGGCGTTCCTCAGTGTTAGGCCAGCTACTGAATTGAAGGTGCCCTAAGATGCCAACTCTGGGGCGCCCGGGTGGCTCAGTCAGTTGAGTGACTGCCTTTGGCCCAGGTCATGATCCTGGACTCCCAGGATCGGGTCCCACATCGGGCTCCCTGCTCAGTGGGGAGTCCGCGTCTCCCTCTGACCCTCCCCCATCTCGTGCTCTCGCTCTCTCACTCTCGCTCTCTCAAATAAAAATAAAATCTTAAAAAAAGAAAAAAAAAGATGCCAACTCTGGCTTTCTACCTTTAGGATGCTCTTTAATTCCAAGTCATCCTGTTCTATCTTCTTCCTGGTCTTCTCCCTTTCTAAACGATCTTCAATGATGACCTGTTCATACTCCCTTATCTGTAAAAGTAAACATGAATCCTAGATTATAAGACAGGCTTGGCAAGGTGTGGCCCAGCCAGCCCTGCACATTTAATATAAAATTTGAAAATAAAGTATGCCAAACCTAAAGATAAATCAAAGAAAAGAAAAACACTAAGTGGATTCCTATGTTGTAAATATTCATATATTAACTATATAAAAAATTTTTCAGTTTGGATCATTCAAATTTCCTATAAAATCTTGCATAAAAATGAACTAGTAACTTGATGTGTGTTTAATGACCTCAAAGTAATGTAATTTTTTTTAAAACTCATAGAAAGTACATATACAAATAGCAGCCATCTTTTAAAAGAGAAATTTGGGAAATTTTACAGTTATTCAATGATGAAACCATAATCAGAAGCTTTTTAAAAATCATAATTTACAGATTATCTTCAGAGACCATAAAGTAGAAATAATAACTATCTATCTCAAGAGGTTGTTGTGAGGGTGAAGTAAGTTCCTTGTGCGGAACGCTAGCAAAGCGCCTGGAACAGAGCGAGCACCATGGCGGTGTGTCAGCTGCGGCTATTACTGTCCCCATCATGGAGGTCATCGTCATCATCATCATCATCATCATCACGAAGAAGGCGCTCAGGGGTTTACAGGCACACCTCCGCTTTGTCACCAGAAATGGCGTTACCCAGCTGCCGTAGCTCAGCTACCACCCATTCCTCAGGCGCTCAGCCTTCCACTATCAAGACTGCTTCCTTACCGTCTTCGCGAGTTCTTGAAGGTGTGCTAAGTCACTGGCCTTAGCAGCTTTGAGAGCATTTAGTTCATTCTGTTTCATTTCTGTGTCCTTATCAAATTTCTCCATCCAGAACTCTAGCTTTTCCTCAAGTTTCTGTTCGGAAAGAACATTAAAACATGGATTCCACCAGACACAAAGCTTTATATACTGTATGAATCATTTATATAAGGTTCGAGAAAAAGCAAAACTTCTCTAGAGTGATAAAAGTCAGACTCGTGGCTACCTCTAGGGGATGGGTTGCTTTATTTGATCAGGAAGGGACAGGAGGGAGACTTCTGGGATGTTGCAAATGTATTCTATATCTCTGTGTGGGTGGTGGTTACAGGAGTGTATATATGCAAACGTTCAAACTGTATGCTTAATATGCATATACTTAATATTATTACTCAATTTAAAAACAGAGGGAAGAGGGCCTTCCAGGTGTCTGGATAAGGGAAATCGGAAAGGAATAAAGGGTAGGTAGAAAATTTTGAAGGATAAGGAATGGCACAGATAAATCTTTGATTAATAAGAGTAAATACCAGGGGCACCTGAGTGGCTCAGTCGGCCAGGCATCTGCCTTCAGCTCAGGTCATGATCCCAGGGTCCTGGGATCGAGCCCCGCGTCAGGCTCCGCGCTCAGCAGGGAATCAGCTTCTCCCTCTGCCTCTGCCTTCTGCTCCCCTTGCTCATGCTCTCTCTCTCTCAAATAAATTTAAAAATAAACAATAAAATCTTTTTTAAAAAATTACAGTAAATAGCAGTTGAGAAGGGTACAATGTCTTCAAAATCCTAAAAAATAATAAATGTGAGTCTAAGATTCTCTACTTCGCTAACCTAGGATTCAAATGTGAGAGAAAGAAAGACTATATCTGGTCTTTAGAGAAGAGTTAAGAGGGTATTTTAGCAATGAAATCTAAAATTTCATTTTAGAAAGAGATAGTACATGTGAGAAACAAATTATATTTAAGCTACAAAATATACCTTTTTAAAATAAATCATAATCTGGAACTAAAATCCCAAATTAGGCACTATAGTCTCCTGGAAAGAGCCCAGATAGGCTCTGAAGGCAGAATGCCAAGGTTTCGCTCCCAACTCTGGGACTCAAATAAGTTAACTTAAATTCTTTAAGCCTCAGTTCCCTCACTTATTAAACAGAAATATGTAACGAATGATTTCAGCATGGGATGTAGGACCTGAAGAGTTAAAACTCTGCTTTAATAAAGACAAGAAGATAAAAGTATTGACTAACTCTAGACTTAGGAGGAAGAACAAAGTATAAATATGTATGTTAAAATGTCAAGGGTTACCACTCCAAGAACATAATGCCGTAACTTCCAAACTCCTAGATCGTGTACCTCAAGAATGAGATATCAAGAGGAGTTTTTAGCCTCTAACTCTGAAACTAATAATACATTATATATTAATTAATTGAATTTAAATTTTAAAAAATAAAACAAGTGGAATATAAGAAAAAAAAAGCAGCATAACGCAATGAAAACAACACAAGCTTCAGAGCCTATCAGAGCCCGGTTCAAATCTTAAATCTCCCATTTTCTAGCTGTATATATTGGACATGTTAATTAATACCTCTGAGGCTTTGTTTCTTCTTTTGTAAAATGGGATTAATATTACCTACATCCTAGGATTATTATGAGGAATAAATATAATGTATATGGTGCTTGGCACTAAAAGGCTTTCAATAAATGGTGCTTATTTTCTTTATAACTAACTAACTAATTAAATAAATAAATGAAATTTAAAAAAAAGAGGAGTCTTTAGGTGGTACATTGACATGGAATTTTTTTTTTTTT